GTCAGAGTTAATTGCTTGCTTTCCCTTGAGTAATTATCCTGATTCATGTTTTACTTCAGATACTCATTCCTGGTTTCTCATTTGACCATCCTCAAGCAAATTTCCCTATGGCTCAGCATTTGGTCAGATTGTTCTATTAGAGGAGAAGACTTTATTCATTAAAAAAATGGCTACAGTTTTGCTAAAGCGTGGGTCCAACAGGTGGCACAGTGGCAAAGGCATTGGACTTCCACATGGCCAACTGTGGTTTAAGTCCTGGACCCAGCAGCATGAACTCATACTGGGCATGTGTGCGTACTTGCCAAAAGTCTCAAGAGGAGAGCGGAGGACAGAGGATTGTGGCATGGCCACCACCCCCGCCCCCCAGGGAGTGATTTCTTTTCTCACTTTCTCTCTCTATGTGTCTCTAGGGAACACATGTGTCCTATAGCAAAAGTCTCTCTCTAAAAAAACAAAGGCTACAGTTTTGCTAAACCTTAACCTGGGCTGCTTCAATTGTCTATTCTTGAATTTAGAGGTATTGGTAATACTATTTGTCCGGTAAGGATTAACTAGGTCAATACAAACTTGTTTGGAGTGTTTAAAAGATTATTCCATACATCTAACCTGATTATATCTGCAAGATATTTGGAAAAGCTCATAAAAATCTCATTATAGATGATATGAAATCTACAAATTGAATGAATAACTATGTAGAAGTGATGCGTATTTTTTGTTGAACTGCTGTAGATCTATCCTATCTAAAATGAACTGAATAAAGACAGAGTTATTAGGTGAGTCAAAATCTTTAAAAAAATTCCAAAAATATTTATTGAATATCCATTATGACCTATGGGAAGGTTGGACAAATCAGGGAGAAATTGTCAATATAGTTGCTTAAGGATTCAAAATTATATTTTCATATTCATATTCTGGATCAAACACTAAGAAAAATCCTAGTATTAGCTTAAAGAATAAAATTTTTGAAGATAGGATGGTAATTATATGTTTCCTTTCCTTTCCATTTCTTTTCTTTTCCTTTCTTTTTTTTCTTTTCTCTTTGTTTCTTTTTGCTCATGAAACTAATAAGATCTAGTTTTGTCCAAATATGACCTCAAGGTAATTGAAAAACATGATAAGGTGTCTTAATCAGCTAATGTAAAACTAGACTGCTTTCAAAAGGTCATAGTACCTGTAATGGTTAGAACACCCTTGAAATAATGGTTCAATTCTGGGTGTCTTGCTGAGGTTTCTATGGTCTAAGATAGTGTCTTAAGTTGGCAGTGCAATAGTTGGTATGAAAGTATGTTATTTAAAATTATAAAAACCAATAGGACTGAAAATGAACGTGCTTAGCTTAATTAGAAAGAGAAAAGAAAGAAAAAGAAGGAGTGTTGTGTAAGTAATCTCTCTTTTTTTGTTTTGGAGAGGTTTTTGCTATAGGGCGTGTGCGCTCATTAGAAAGACAGAGAGAGAGAGACAGAGAGAGAGAGACAGAGAGACAGAAAGTGAGAAATAACCCCCTAGTGGGGATGGCCTTGCTGCAATTCCTTCTCCTCCATTCTCTTCTTGGGATCTTGGGCATGCATGAACACACATCCAGCGAGAGTTTAAGCCACTAGGTCTGGGACTCTAACTGCAGTCGACTAGGTGGGAGTCTAGCGATATAACCATTATGCTAACTGCTGGTCCCATCTCTCTCTGTCTTTTTCCCCAGAGGGGAGTCTATGCACACACACACACATATATAAATATATGATTAATATACACAATATAACCACAAAATAATATTTTGTATTATATATAAAACCATAAAAAGCAGGAAGAGTTAAAAACAAAATTTGACCTCCAAGAATGGGACCTGGGGTACAGAGACACAATGAACACAACGTTCATGGTTGCTAAGAGTAAAACAAGGTCTGGATGACTGTTCTCCCCTGGAAAGAAAATGGAAACAAAGACAAGTGAGGGAAAGTCAGGAGACTAACATGGTGGATGGAGTGGGATCTGAACATTGATATTAAGATGGTTGAAGGAACTGGGGGTTATCTACCCTGGAAAAGATATGCAAGAGGAGGCTACATGGGTGTGGTGGTGGGGGGTGGGTAATACAGAATTGAAAGAGAGGAGGTTTTCTTTGGCTGAACTACTTATCATTCCTGAAGGAATTCCTATCCTGTTGATTTCCAAGACCTGTTGACATCTATGTGAGGTATATGTGTCTGTGTACCCCCCCAAAATAACACATCAAACCATGTACATATATGAGTATATGCATTTGTGAAGGGAGGAAAGAACGATTATTTTCTTTTTTCTTTAAGTTTACTTACTTTATTTCTTCTATGGGTGAGGGGAGAGAGAGAAAGACAACCCCAACAATGTCTTCATTGCCATGACTCAGCCCCAGCTCAGTCAGCTATAATCATGGATATGTCCACATATCTGGCGTGTACAGGGAGACCTCAGAACTTGAACTTGTGACCCTTCCCAATGGCTTCAGCATTGGAAAGTGGGCGTGCTATTACTACTGAGTGACTGTGTTGGCCCAACCTGTCATTTTTAACACCACCCTCCTCCTCAAAATAGTATATAATTTAAAACAGGTTGGAGCTAGTAAGTAGCATTCTATTTAAGGTACTGGCTGACCATGGTTTGAATTTGGGCCTGGTGACTTGAAAGCCATGCCAGGGGCCTCTGTCTCTCTCCAGAAAGTACACGTGTCTGATGACAAAAACTTGTTTACGATGTACAAGGTTGCCTGTCTTATTGGGTAATAAGCACTCATTCAAATGGAAACCATCTTTTATATAATACTTTAGAAATAGTCCTCATGTGTATAGGCTTGACTAGTTTATCTCAAAGAACTTTTCTGCTCTTGGGTTCTAATATTTACAAACTGAAAAAAATAATAAAGTAAATTTAACAAAGAACAACTACTGGACACTTATTACAGGATGACTGTCAGGCTGAATGCTTGACATGGGCTCTAATTCAATTCTCATAGGATTGGATGAGGTCGATACTACATTCACAACTCAGAACAAGACACTGTGTAGAGGCTGTCCTACCAGTAAGGGACAGAGCTGAGATTAGATCCCAGGAAGTCTGGCCCTAGGTCATGTTCACTAATACCCTTTGGAGAAGTTTTCCACTGCCTTCATTTTGACTGTTTGTCCTTCATTGACCTGTGTTAATTTCATAGCACAAATGACAGTTCCAGCACCTGCACCTACAAAACCACTTTCTCTGTCTTCTTCCTGGGCCTCTTATCCTCTTCAGCATTAAGGAAGCCATGAAAAAATGGACTAGTAGGAAAGATGATTACTTAATGCATGTTGAATTTAAAGCAACCTTCTTTTTGAGCAAGGATTCATTGTCCTCTACTATCCACAGATAGATGCATGCCATTTATGTGTCTTGACTATGCTTGAATGAGAATCTAATCTTTGGGGTGTTTATTTGAACTTGACCTCATTTAATGCATATCTTTTATTTCACTAAAAATGCAGATACACATATGTGTGTATACATACATGCATATATACATATATACATATATATATACATATTTATATATATGTTTGTATATGAAGGGACTTCAAAAATTAATGGAAAAAATTGAATTAAAGTGCAACTTTATTGGGGCCAGCAGGTACTGTGGTGGTTAAAGTGCTAGATTCCCACATGGTCAAATGTGGTTCAAGTCCCAGACCCTGTGGATTGAAACTCACATTGGCTTCGTGTGTGTACATGCCCAAAATCTTGAGAGGAGAATGGAGAAGGACTGTGACATGATGAGATTTGTCACTTCGCTTTCTCTCTTTCTGTCTCTCCAGTTAGTGCATGCACCCTATGGCAAAAGCACCACCCCCTCAAAAAAAAAAAAAAGCCACTTTGTTTTGGTGAAAAACATTTTGAAATCCATACATTGGTTGTTTATCATATGCATTTTTTCATGAACTTGCTGTTGATCCTGTGTGTGTGTGTGTGTGTGTGTGTGTGTGTGTGTGTGTGTGTGCATACAGAGTTTTCTATTGCTAGAGTAATAAATGATCACATATTTCGTGGCTTAAGACAGCATTACTTTATTTTGTGTTCTCTTGGTTAAAATTCTGACATTGGTTTCAATGGGCTAAACTCATGGTATTGGCATGGCTGTATTCTTTTCTGGAGGCTCTGAGGAGAATCCATTTCCTTCCCTTTCCCAGCTTCCTTGGAGC